ATTCTTAAGGATGGGTTCAACTGTATACCAGTCAGATGTTAAGTCAGCAATTTTATATTCATTATATAGGCACAGTGGTTGATACAGCGATCTGTCATCCGTATGAATTCAATTGGTACCTCTGCAGCCATGCTGCACAAGGCACGAGTAAACCAACACTCTACCATGTATTGTACGATGACAGCGATTTCAGCTCAGACGACATACAGATTATGACCAATCAGTTGTGTTACACCTATGTGCGGTGTGCAAGGTCGGTATCTATCCCCGCCCCCGCCTACTATGCCCACCATGTCGCGTTCAGAGCCAGACGTCATTTGAAGATTGAAAGTAGTACTGTAGGCAGTACGGTATCTGATGACTCCGGGCCCAAGGAGGTCACCCAGGAAATGAAGAATTTGGTCACAGTCCATCCAAATGTGAACTGCACTATGTACTTTGCTTAAGCCCGTTTCCAACGTATAAAAAAATCGAAAATTTCAAAATTTAGTGAATGTTGATTGGTTATTAGCGGAGCTCGAGCAAGCGACGTTTTGTCAACACTGGCGGCATTTTGCATCATAGCGCTCGTGTAAGGAACTTTAAAAATGTTATGTTTTGTCATATGTGTTGAAGATTACCGCAAACTGATACAAACACAATTTTTAGTACAGTCTCCCCTCGGCAATCTGGCGTCCGTGTTGTCAAAAACGTCGCTTGCTTAAAGGGATATGTCAATAAAAATTAAGTTTGTCTTATTTGAAAGAATTTTTAAAGTTATGTAAGGAGACCCTTTACAACGTTTTCGTATACCTTGCTTGGTTTTCGAAATATTTTGACCAAAAACAGAATGCCGTCCGCCATCTTGGCATAATAAACAACATGGTTTTATTATATAAAAAAATCAAAAACCATCATGGTTTTATTACAAACTTACTACCTGACAGCCCTGAGAGAATGCTTCAACGAAGAAGATCCGAGGACATGGAAGACTATATGTCTGAAGTGTAACACTAGTCGTTACTTACGTTCTGAACTAACTTGTTGTTTTTAGTCTCCTGTCCATGTACTGTATGTTATATATTCTGTACTGTATGTGTATTTTTGTATAGGGCCCACAGTAATTGGTTTACACTGTTGTGGTGTCCCTGCCATTCTTGTCCATGTTTATTGTCTAGATGTCTATTTGCTGTTCTGTTACGTGTTTTTGGCAAAGTTTAATAAATAAATAATAAATAAATAATTGACCTAATTAACTGAGTTTGTGATGACGTCAAAAGCAGGGTAAACTTGTTAAAACGTCTTCATGTGGGACTACATTTCTTCGAAAATTTTCTTAAAATGTACGTTGTGAGTTAATTGAGTACTAAAAAGACATCGGAAAATCGAGTTTCATATTGATAAGGACATGTGGTTTGCAAGATAAAAATTTCGCTTTTTACCCTACTTGTGACGTATGCATTTATTATCGATTGCATATCCAAGATGGTGGAATGCACGCTGCTTTTGATCAAAATAAGTCGATTTATTTCGAAAACCAAGCAAGATACGGAATAATTGTAAAAGAAGTTTATATATAATAGTTTATATATAATTTTAAATGTTCTTTCAAATAAGACAAACTTGATTTATATTGCCATGTCCCTTTAAGATCCGCTAATAACGCGAATACACCCGGAAGTACGTGTTAAATAGTTGGCCGAGCTACAACAAATGGCTATGAACAATCACTCGATTTAAAAGCAATGGATTATGGTTGATAGCAATGGTGCAGCCAACAATATTATTGAATCACGCTTTAATTAATAAATGTTTTGCTTTAATAATAAACATATACAGCAACTAATGATTTTCAAAATTTCACTATGCAAAAATATAGTAAGAGATAGCTATTGTTAATGCATGTCTAAACAATTCGGTAATCATGCCTTTAACTCTTTCTCAGCCGGCTATAGGCCGTAGGATGAGCATCCAAAAGATGCTTAGAAAACGGATTCCGTTGCACCCCTCGTGTAACTACGTAATTTTCACATGAATAAATAGATAAAAACTTACTTTATCAGAATCCGTTGCTCCCCAAGCGAAGCAGGTGCACAATTGGGAGAAAAATCC